CAGCACGAGCTGGACTGGAGACTCAAATGGGATCCTCCAAGTGGTTTGTTTCTATGCCAGGAAAATCGACGGCTTTGTTCATGTCAAGCCATGTGGTTCCCAGCGCTTGAATTTGTGGGTTACCTCTGGGGCCAGATGTTGTCTTGAGTACAAGACCATGGCAACACACAGATGTGCACCCCACTCTAATCAAACGTGGTCAGTCCTGAAACCAAGGCTACAAAATGGGGGAATACGGAGAAGAGGAAAATAGTTCCTGCTAGAAGGTCAGAAAGAGAAAAACAGCAGCTAACTTTTTCTGAATTTTGTGCATGTGCTAAGAACTTGACAGATGTCTCATCCAGTTTTCACAATAATCCTGTCAGATAAGGACAATTTTTTTTTTTACAAGTAATTAATCCCAAAGAGGTAAAGAAGCCCCGGGAGGTAAAGTAACTGGCCAGAGATCACACAGCCTTGGATTCAAACCCCGGGCTTCCCGTAGAGCTAGCAGACTTTTCCTGAAGGGACCTTTGGAAAGGGAGAATTTTAGGTCCAATAGTTCATTACAAATTTTTTTTAAATACAGAGGAGTTGGAGAATTTTGCAGCAAACAAACATACCCACCACTTACCCTTAAGTTTTTTATATATTTGCATTATTCTATATCTGTCCATTCATGCATCTACAATTCTTTTGTGCATTTCAAAGAAAGTTCCAGAGGCCTCTTGAATATGTTAGCATGCATGTTATTCAACTGAGTTATCTATGGCTCTTTTTGGGGGGGCTGATGTAAAATTTGTGTCTGATAAAATATAAACACATTTCTCACCGTATCCTTTGAACTGCAGATAAATGGATTACAGTATTTGTGTGTGTGTGTGTGTGTGTATGTATGTATGTGTGTGTGTATGTATGTGTGTGTGTGTGTGCGCACGCATGCACATCTGGCTGCTTTTACTCAGCGTGATAACTGGAGGTTCATCAGTGTGGCTGAGTGTGTCAGCAGCTCCTTTTCACTGCTGTGTACTATTCCATTGTGTGATGTGTGACATCTCGTCCTGTTGATGGACACCGGGACCAGTTTTGGGTTATTATGAATCACGCTGCTAGGAATGGGCCTGGGACATACACTGCTAGGAGTGGACACACACCTACATGTCTCTTGGGTCTATGTCTTGGAGTGGAATGTCCAGACCACAGGGTAGGGCAACATAGATTTATAAAAAACTGCCTTTTTGCAAAGTGGCTATACCGATTATGTTCTGGCCAAAGATGCATGAGAGTTCTGATCATTTCCCTTCCTCACCAGTGTGCTATGTCAGCAGTCTTTCATTTGAACCATTTTGGTGGTTGTGTCGTGGTGTCTCGTTGTGGTTTTAATTTGCATTTCCCTAATGACTGACGATGTTAGGCACAGCTTCACCTCCTAATTGGACATTTGTCTTCCTCTTTGAGGTCTCTATTCAAATCTTTCACGCATTTTAAAAATCAGTCTCCTTGTTCTCTGTGAGATGTGTGCTTTGCAAATGTTTTTTTCCCACCAGGTGACTTGCAGGGTTTGATGGGCAGAACTTTATATTTTGATAGATATTATTTATCCATCTTTCCACTTACGGTTCTTGCATTGAGTCCAATTCAATAGGCATGTGCCTGCCCTTCAGAGAGAATGTTGGGAGGAGGTAATAGAGAACGTGCGGGTGCCAGAGCAGGAGTGGGGTGGAAAAGTGCAGTATTTGCTGCGGTAAGGAGAGCAGCGCTTGGGGGAGCCTGGGGAGGTGCGGCTCAGAAGGACATGCCTTCTATATGAGGGAGCTGGACTGGGTTCTTCAGGCGGTGGGAGCCATTGAAGGTTTTAGAGCAGTGAAGGGTGTTATCACAAGTGGGAGGGGGCACCATCCCTGTGATGCCGGAGCCTGGGGTGAAGTTTCTACTTGGTCACTTGAAAGCAGCAACCTGTGCCTCAGGATGTAGGTGGACTCCAGGGATGGGGGATTCTCAATACTCCCCAAGATCCAGAAGCCCCTCAGATCCTCCTATGTCTTTTTTTTTTTAACTAATTAATTAATTAATTAATTTATACAAGCACTGGGTACAGTCAGAAGCGTGGGAGGGTGAGAGAATTCACCAGAGCCAGAGTGAGGAGCAGAGCAGGCAGACTGATGAAGTACACTGCTGAGGGGAGCAGCGGGCGGCAGGAGAGGTCTGCGCGCCATGGGGGACCCTCCTCCAGTGGCCGGGGAGCAGCCGGGGATCGAACCGGCGCTGCAGAGGCCGCGGGCAGCTTCGCAACCCAGCGCTCAACCGCTGCGCCACCGGGGAGGCCCATTTCTTGCCAAGGATGCCTGCCCACTGGTGTAGGCCAACCTGGAGCTTGAAATCCAGGGAAAGTGCTTATATATCTGGATTAGCACTCACCCTCCTAGCTCCTCCCACCCCAGGCTTCCTTGTGGTTTCTCCTGCACCAAGAAACTCAAGGCCTTTGCTCTTCCTTGTGTCTGGAATTTCTTCCCCTGTTATCAGCATTGGGGTGTTTGCTCAAAGTCACCATTTTTTCCCTTTATCTGTCCTACATGTTCTCCTATATTTATCTCCATCTATCATCAATCATCTGTCTAGCCACCTACCTATCCATCATCAATCCTCTATCATCTATCAATCGTCTACTTATTAGCAATCATGTACCTACCAACCATCTAAATATCCACCTATCACCTATCTGCCTTATCTATTTTTTCTATTTTTTTGCACAGTCTCCTTTTCTGCAGACTCCCCTAGCTGTAAGATTTCAAAGCGCCCCCCCCCCCCACACACACACATACACACCCTGTGGCCCTTTGCTTTCCTCTGGTGCCATCACCCCCTAACCACCTGGCCACTAATTCACTTTGTCCACCGCCTGATTCCTCCCCTGCTGGGCTCCTGCCTCCAGGGGGTGGAGGGGGTGGGGTGCTGTTCCAGAGGCAAAGCGGTGTTCACGGTGCCAGTGGGTGGGCCTGGGACAGAAGCCCCCAGTACTCGAGCGGTTATTTCTTGTGGCCTTGTGCTCAGAAGCCCATGGAAGCCCTGCTTTGGGGGTGGGGGTGGGGGAGCAGAGGTCCATGCTCTGTCCCAGTGGGACCAGGCACCTCAGATGTTCTTGGGGGAAACAGAAATAAAGTTGGGTATGTGCTCCAGGCATCAGATTCCAGGCTGGCTGCCTCCCGAGTGGGGCTGGGGTGGGGGCTCAAGTGCTTATACCTTTTTCCAGAATAGGAAACAATTAGGGAAACAAATTAGGGGCTCAGCAGTGCAGGGCTGAGGTTGGCCTTGGCCGCCCCCCTGGCTCTGTCACGGCACATGAGGACACTTTCCCTCGCTGTGGGGCCTCTGCCCTCAGTCCATCTCGGTTTCGGGCTTGAGTCAAGGATTTTGTGAGGCTGCGCAGCGGCCTGGTCTCAGATTAGCGTCAGTTAAGGACCACGGGGTGGGGCTGGGGGGTTTGATCCCTCATCTACTCCAGACCTGGAAGAGGGGCATCTCGATGAGTCCTGAGTGGGTGTATACACACCTAGCAGGGTGGTGGCCAAACCTTTAGGCTACCCCAAGACATAGTGCATGCTGCACCCCTGCTTGTCAAAGCAAATGTGACCCTGCTCATGACTGTGCTCCTCGGAGCAGCCGGGCCAGGCCTCCCACGGCGGGTTTGTGTGGGGTTCCCAGCTGCCCCATGCCGGGGCAGAGGTGAGACCCTCCCAGTGCCCAGGGGCTGCTCACCATGAGCCTCCATCAGAGGAGGGTCTTTGGCCTTAGAATCAGGCTTCTCCAGAAATCAAGGCGAGGCTGTCCCACTGCTGCCCCCGTTCTCGCCTTCCCCTCGGTGAGTGGGTCCACTTCTCCAGCCTTCAACAGGGCTCATCCTGGCCGCATCCTCTCCCGGCGCTCCTTACAGCAAGCATCCACCCTGGTTACTGGCGTCCCTGGGCATCCTGCAGGGACACAGGCAGAAGAGACCACATCGTTCTGGCTTTATACCCACCCCTGCTGCCTGGTGAAGGTTTTCACCCCTGTGGGGTTTGTTTCCCGAGGTAGAAAGCAAACGACCGTACAGTCCACCAGGCTCAGAATTCTGGGCACCAGGAACCCACCTCCTGCGCTGAAATCAGAGCAAACCCACCAGGGTGTGCAGGGGGTGGAGAGCGGTGAGCGTGCTGGGAAGGGCCTGTAATTCTTCTTCTTCCCCAACCCTGAGCGGTTACCCGGGGTGGCGGTGGGAGTGGACTGAGGGTGGACACAGAGGCGCCTTCTGGAACTGTCTGTCTCAGTGCATCAGTAGAGAGAGAATGCAAGCCACGCGCGTCCTTTCAAATGTTTCAGAAGCCACATAAAAAAATCAGTGAAATCAATGTTCATGCTTTATTTTACCCAATAAATAATCACTTCATTACATTGTCAAAAATATTTTTAATGAGCTGCTTGTCATTCTTTTTTCATACCAAGTCTCTGAAGCCTGTGTGTCTTCTGTGTGTGCAGCACGTCTCAGTTTAGACCAGCTGCTTTTAAGAACTCAATACCCACGTGTGCTTAGTGCCTGTGGTGCTGGACACACAGGTCTCTGTCTTAATCTGGTGGTAGTGATACGGGTGTAGACATCTGTCTAGCTCTACACCGAAGACGTATGCCTTTCACTGCGTCTATTATAGTTGCACTGCAATTAAAAAACTGAAGAGGGGCCTCCCCGGTGGCGCAGCGGGTTGAGCACAGCGCTGTGAAGCTGTCCGCAGCCTCTGCAGCATGGGTTTGATTCCCCATATAGCGCAGCAGACCTCTCCTGTCTGCCTGTTCTGCTCCCGCTCTGTCTCTGGTGAATCCTCTCACCCTCCCATGCCGCTGGCCTATACCCCCGTGCTTGCATAAATAAATAAATCTTTAAAAAATAAAAAAATAAAGAGAAAACCCTCTTCAGAGCTGCACCTGTATTCTCCTGAACCCCCTCCCTGGGCTGGCTGCAGGAGAGGCTGATCATTTGATTGTATTCTCAGTTCTACTGCAGATGCTGGCAAGCAAGAGGAAGAGGCAGAGGAGGAAGACATGGGGCCTTGTCAGCCGGTCACCCAGAGGAACTGCCTGCCTCGCCGGGGCATCAGCGTGCTGGAGAAGCTGGTGAAAACCTGCCCCGTGTGGCTGCAGCTGGGTCTGGGCCGGGCCGAGGTGGCCAGGATCCTGCACCGGGAGGCTGCTGGGGTGAGTCTGGGTCTCTCCGCCTTGGGGGGTGGTGGGGGGAGTTGATGGGCACAGGTACCAGGAGTCCCCTTGGGACAGCTGCACTGTTTGCTTTCCTGTCTCAGCTTTTTGATAGAGTGCTCTTTCCAGAACTCAGGATTGGACTCTGGAATAAGGGCTGGTCCTGTCAGGAGAGCAGGTTTCCCCACTGGAGAGCAGGGACCGGGTGGCTGGCATGGCTGTCTGGGCATTTGGGCACCTGAGAGGCAGGACTGACAGTGAGGAATCAGCCAGGCTTGGGGTGGGGGTGGAGCGCATCAGAGCCAGAGGCACCTGAGAAATCACTTGACACCCCTGTTTTACCTAGGAATATGAGTGATGGAGTCGAAGACTTCTTGAGTCGGGCTCAGTGAATTGGGCAAGAGGCCTAAATTTTTTGAACCTCACTTTTCTCACTTTGAAATTGGGCCATGATTGTGGCTCCCCTGCCTGTAGGGTAAGGTTATGGGGGAGTCAGATAGGTAGATGGTGAAATAGGAATCAGAGCTCATCAAATACCACCCCCATCCCCCAACCCACCAACCTCCCTCACCCCCAAACCCCTGCACACACACACGCATTTTCTCTTATACATACTACCTTCTAAAAATGTTTAATTATAAATCAGTTTAATTACAAAAGTGATCCATATATGGGTTCATGGTTTGGTTTGGTTTTGTTTTGTTTTTTTAAAAAAGCAGGCTGGACAGATAAAGATAAAGTAAAAAGTGTTTTATAAAAATCTTCTCTACCTACTCTTTGTTACCGGATCTTCTTCCTGGAAACCTTTTCTTGTATTGGTAATTGGAAGTTCACATCGCCTCAAATTAGCCATTTGAAGTGGGCCATTTACTGTGTGTACAGTGTCGTGCCACATCTCGTTCTTCCAGTTCCAAAATGTTTTATCACCCGAGATAAAGCCCCGTCACTCCCTGCACCTTCCTGCCTTGGCCTCTGGCCACAACCAGTCTGCGTCCAGAGTCATTTTGCCAGAGTGCGTGGTGCGTTCTCCCATCATGCCCCACAGTTTCCCCGGCACGGCCTAGGGTCCAGGCACGGGTCTGTGATTTTCACGGGAATGAGCACATTTACCCCCACAGCGTCCTCAGAGGGCGATGTTTTATGCCCATTTCACAGATAAGGAAACTGAGACACCCACAAGGTGAGTGACTCCCAGCACAGCGAGCAAGTGCCTGAGCTGGAGTCTGAGCCCAGGTGTTGGGGGGCTGCTGTGCTGCACCCCACGGGTTTTACCTGACATGATGAAATCGTGTCTTCGTGCACTCCCGGGTGGCGAGCAGCGCTGCGTGCCCATGTCCCGAGAGCCCACCGGCTCGTTGGTTCATGGACTCAGTCACCTGTGACTAGCCATCAAGCCAACAGTTGTACCTGCAAATTAGAATTGCTGGGACTTATGGGGCCCCAGCAGGGTCCACAGAGGCCCCTGCCGTAGGGAGTCAGGGACCGTCATGGCCTCGAGATCCAGCAGAGTCCCTGGAGACCAGGGAGGCGTCCCCAGGTAGTGAGACAGGGTCCTGTGGGCCCCCCAGCCCCACCTCAGCCCCACAGCAGGTGGGAATCTGCAGTTGCCTCTTTCAGAGGATGAGGGAGCCGGGGGAGGGGAGGCAGGGAGACCGTAGCCCTCAGGAGAACAAGGTCTGCTGTTTCGTTCCTCCCGCCGAAGGGTTTTCCGTTTTGAACTGAGCAAAACTTCAGAACAGGTGATAAAACTGCTTGGAAAATAAAAGTGGGGACCCACGGCCGCAGAGGTCCAGGTCAGCATTCCCAGACCAGAGTCCCCACGCCTCACCCCCTCCCCTGCTCTTTCTGAGGGGATTCGCTTCCCTCTCCTCCTGGGATGATGTAGCTCATAAACAGGCCCAGGAGCCAAGGCGTCAAGGCTGAGGCACATCTCTGGACCATCCGGTCATCAGGAGGGTGTGTCCCGAGCGCGTGTATAGATGGGGGTGGCCAGACGGCGAGGGGAAGGCAGGTGGTCTCCAGGGCACGCTGGGCTGGGCACACGTCATGGCTGCTTTGTCAAAGAAGTCAGTTCTCCCTTAAAAAATTAAAAATAAGCTCAACTCGGAATAACAGTAGTGGTTCTGTGTGGAGCATGGTGATTAAAACCTGCTCTAGGCCAAGAACTTTATGAAAGGCGTCTCGTTTAATCCTGTGACTATCCTGTGAGGCAGACTCTGCTGTGATCCCCATTTTACAGGTAGTGAAACTGAGGCCGAACCCTCATTTGGGCCAGAAGCAGACCCTGGAGGTTTTGAGAACAAGTGGTTTATTTGGAGGGTGACCTTAGGGAGGCCCCAGTCGGGGAAATAAAACCCAGAAGGGAAAGCAGCCAATAGTGCGTGTGCGGTCACCACTTTGCCCCGGGTTGCAGGACGAGCCGAATCCTGCTGGGCCTCTGTGGGAACCAGGGGAAGACTCAGCTCAGGGTCATCCTACCCAGGGGCAAGCTCGGGAGCTGGTGCGATCCACGCACTTCTGATAGCCACTGCCTCAAGACTGTGGGGAGTTAGGCTCCGTGTTCCAGAACCTCCTCTCTGCCCTGAGCATGAGACGCTTTGACTGTAGCCAGAAGTAGCCCGTGAGCAAGCAGAAGCTGAACTGTCCTCACTTCCAGATGAGAGATGCTAACTCACTTGCTCAAAAGAGATGCTAACTTGCTTGCTCACAAAGCTAGTAGGGGTGATCGGGGCAGACTTCCTGGAGGAGGCTGATTCTGGGGAGCTGACAACGCTGAGCAGGTTGCCCAGGCCCTGCCACTAGAGGCAGAAGCCGCATGACTGTGTTCATTTTCCAGATGAGCCCATGTTAAAGCAAGGCTTGAAGCCTAGTTCAGGCCTAAGGAGACCTAGAGGCCCAGTGACCCCTCAACCCTGCCAGGGGAGGTATCCAGGCAGCTCTTGTAAATCCAGGGGCTGAGTGTGAAAACAGAAAGCTCCAGGCAGAGTCCTGAAATGGTACCTGTGTCCGGTGTCTTGAATGTGATCCTGTTACGCAGCAGCCCCGATGTAAAAACGGGTGGCCTGGCTGTGGGTCCTCACCCGCGCTTACAAGGGACTTAAGAATACTCCACTACAGGACACACAAAAGGTTCATAAAAGGTTTATTTACAAGAGAAAGGGAGTTAAGGAAATGTACAACTCAGGGAGAAAATAGGGAAATAAAGTCTTTAATGCATCCTACCCGATCCGCCGACCTGGAAACCCAAAGGCACTCTCCGAGCTGGCCGGACGCTGCGAGCTGGCGGAGGGAGAGCCAAAAAAAGAGACCCCCCGCCCCCAAAGCCCATGTGTCTGGCTTTATACCAACCTGGCTGATGAACCCCACCCTCAGGTCCCAGCCACCTTCCCTTGGGTGATGGTGATGGGATGTGGAGTTCCCAGTGTCTTTGGCTTTGGCCTGGGGTGGGGGTGGAGTCCACAAAGCCTGTGTGGGATTAGCTTGAGGACAGCCTCTCCCCCTAACAATCCCAGGAGTGAGACACATACATAGGAACCTGCTGAAGGGGTACGGCCAGGCCCTTCCCAAGGCCTCCCCACCTTGCTGCAGGAGCTGGCTCACCCTGAGGACAACAGAAGCAGAGCAGATGCACCTCCTGTCACCCTCTCTCATATCCCACCTTCCCCCATGAGTGTCTGTGTCTTCAAGCAGAACCAAAACCCTAAGCTTATGATCTGCTAAAATGATTGGCCGGCATTTCCCCTGAATTGCTTTTTGCCTGATCTTATTGATCTTCACAGCCGTTCCAGCCGGGTAGGTGTTAGTGTCCTCATCTCTAGATGAGGAAGCGAAGGCACAGAGACACTAACTCACTTGCTCCAGGTCACACAGCTAGTAGGAGAGCAGAGCTCCTGGTGTGATCTTCAGGAGGCAGGAAGGCCCTTTGCTACATATCGCTCCTCTGAGCTGTCTCAAGTCTTGCCAGTACAAGGGCTTGTTGTTTTTTTTAAAGTTGCAGACCCTGTGGGTGGCCCCAGGGCTGAGCGCTCAAAGGGCCCATCCTTCCCGTACCAGCGAGAGACAGCACTTCATCGTGGCCATGGCAGGGGTCTGGGGACCCAGCCAAGCGTCTGTGTGACCTTCGCTACATGCCACCCCCTCCGCTACTCCCCAGCTCCGCCCCCTGAAGCCTGCCGCCTCTGATAAGGTGTTGGGAACATTTTTGATTTGTGTGTATCTAGAAACAAGGCCATCAAAAAGGCCCCTTTTTCTTAAGGCACTCGATGTCTTGCTGTTGCTGTTGCTAGTTTAGTGCAGAATAGTTTTAGATGCAAGCTGCAAGGACAGTCAGGAGAGCTCTGTCTACTCTTCACCCAGTTTCTCCTGTGGGTAGCCGCTAACATCAGCGGGGTACATTTATCACAACTAATGAGCCAGTATAGACACATCAGTGTTAACCCAAGCCCAGGCTTTCTTCGCTTTCTGTAGAGGCCACTCGCTGTGAGGTTGCTGTTGGTGGGGAGGGGTTAGCTCAAGAGTTGCTGTTACCTGGTTGTAATATGAGCCTGTCGTGTAAGGGTCCAGGCACCTGCCCCAGGTGTGAGCGTGGTTTGGTGAAAGCCTTTGGTGAGGTGTCTCTCACCCCGCGGGGGTGGGGGCCGGGGAGGATGGCACAGTCAGGCCTTGCAGGTCTGCTCTGTGTCCTGCACCTTCTCTCCTCTGTGCCACAGCCCCAGCAAGGGGCCAGGCCCCACCCTGTAAGCGAGGCATCCCCGGAGGGCGAGAAGCCTGCCTGAGGAGCAAGAAGCTGGGGTGTGCCTTCTCAGCAGGGTGGAGCGGGATTCAAACGCACCAAAGGACTGCCTTCAGGGGCTCCCCAAAAGACGCTGTTTCACCTCACTCCCCCCCTCAGAAATGCCAGCTGCTTGGATTTGAAGTGAGGCCGGCCTGATGCACAACCAGGAGTGGGTATCTCCACTCTCTGTCGATGTTACACGTCTCGGGAGAGGCGGCCTCAGCTT